CCTCTAGCTCCACCCCTCTAGACCTCCTCTAGTGCTTTCTCTATCCAGTTATGTAAACCTGAAACCTTGGTGTTAGCCTTGACACCACCTTCCCCCTCTCCTTACATATCTAGCGCCACTACTAAGTTTTATAGGTTTTATTTTTTAAATAACAGCTTAACTGAGATATAGTTCATATACCATAAAATTACCCTTGTAAAACCTAACAATCAATAGCCTTTTGTGTGGGCAGAGTGATGCAACCATCACCACAAAGTCCAAACGTTTTATCACCCCGAAAGAGAAACTTAGATCCATCAAGCACTCATTCCCCATTCCCCTGGCAATCACTAGTCTATTTTCTGTCTCTTGGATTTACCTATTCCAGGCATTTCCTTTTTTTTTTTTTTTAAGATTTTATTTATTTGACAGAGGGAGAGAGAGGGAGAGCGCACACAAGTAAGCAGAAGGGCAGGCAGGGGCTGGGGGGGAGGAAGCCTGATGTGGGGCTCGATCCCAGGACCCTGAGCCGAAGGCAGAGGCTTAACCCACTGAGCCACCCAGGCACCCCGGCATTTCGTTTTTTAAAAGATTTTATTATTTGAGAAAGAGAGAGAGAGAACACAAGCTAGTGGAATGGTAGGCAGAGGCAGAAGCGGGCTCCCTGCTGGCTGAGCAAGGAGTCTGACGCAGGGCTGGATGGCAAGACCTGGGGATCATGACCTGAGTAGAAGGAAGATGCTTAATCCACTGAGCCACCCAGGTGCCCCTCCAGGCATTTCATATAGATGGAATCATACAAAAATGACTTTTTTTGTGTGGCTGACTTCTTTCACTTGGCCTATTTTCATGTTATAGCACATGTCAATGCTTCATTCCTTTTATGGCTGAACAATATCCCACTGTACGGATAAGCACATTTTGTGTAACCATTATCAGGTGATGGACATTTGGTTCCGTTGCCATTTGGGGGGCTATTAGGAATAGTTACTAGAACATTCTTGGACAAATTCTGCATGGATATGTTTTCAATTCTCTGGGTTAAAGACTGAGCAAGTTCTACGGACTTTTACCTACTAAGATGCTGTTGGAAGTATCTATTTCTTTCCATCTCTAAGCTACCAACTCCTCTCAAGTGAACTAAAGGAACAGCCTCTTCTCCACAGCCTAGTTGTCTTTTCAAAATAGGCATCTGATTATATATATTACCATACCCAGCTTACGACTGTGCACCAACATCCCTGAGACCCCTCATCCACGCCAGGGGCTTTTTTCAGTTCCTTGAATGGAGCAAACCTCCCTCTCCACCACCCTGCACAGCAGCCGACCTCCCCTGCAAAGCTTTTCTCCTTTCTCTGCCTGGTTTACTCCTACCCACCCTGGAGAGCCCAGCGTAGGTCTCTCCCTCGGGAAAGCTTTTCCTCGCCTCCCTGATGAACAGGGGCTCTCCTGAAAGCAAGCCCCTATCCCTCGGGGCCCGTGGCACTGTGACAGCTCTCCACAGCTCACCATCTGTTTGTGTGATTATCTGAGGACCACTGTTTCCCCCCCAACACTGTGTCTCCTTCTGTTCAGTGCGGCAGCCTCGGTGTGAGCGCGCACCGCCTCTCAGCAAATGTTTGTTGAATAAACAGACGAACACCTGCATACAGGAATGAACACAAAGGACAAGACGGCCTCCCGGAGGCATCAAGCGATCCCTCATGGAACAAGATTATCCCGAGCAATCAAAAAAGTGACTTCTTTCATAGTGTCTTCCGGAATATACTTAGAAAAACAGGCCTTTCTGCACTGACAGTATCAAAATCAAAATACAAAATCATATTAAGTACAGAACCAGATTGGAGGCTATGTCTTTTTAATGGGAAACTCAACTCTGGTGATTTCATTTCAGGAGAACAATGTCATCTGTCATGTTAAATTAACGTTCATCTGCAGTCTTCTTATTTTGTAAGCTTTGCTTATTTAATTTGAAGGTCTGATTTGGGTTTAGGGTTGCAGGAAGTACTTAAGCCTGAGGACTTTACATCCAGATTTATGTTAAAACATATTTAAGTAACAGTAGAGCAAATTAAGACTGGGTTCCAGGGGGAAAAAAAAGTTGATAAAAAGTCTTAGAAACAAGGACTGAGTAACACTGATCTGTTGGATGGGGAGTTAGATCACCTGACTTCTTAGATCTTCTCCAACCGTAATATTCCCTAATTCTAATCTTATGTTACATACTGAGAAACAGAGGCATGAACTGCTGAGAGTCTAATAAAGAAGGAATTCCGGAAGGGGGCAAAAGGAGAGAAAGCAAGGCAGCCTTACACCAGACACTAGTCCAACCAGGTTTTTTTTTTTTTTTTTACTGACAAGACTTTTTTAAGCAAAAATGTTCCTCAAAACATATCAAATAGAATGAATTATTTACTAGCATCTCAAAAATCTCCAAAGAAGAACGGAAAAACATAAGAAGACATTTCCCAACATTAAATGAGACAAAACACCAGAGGGCCTCTGCTAGGCCACTTATGGTTAAATATAAAAAGTTCAACGACTTACATTTAACACTTAATGAAGTCCAAACTAATAAAGTGAATTTCCTGGGTCTTCTACATTCAAGGGCTGTGATCAATTATAAAGTCAGATTTGGACACAAAACATTTTTTAGGGCTTTGGTAATTTTGGTCATTTAGTTCTTTGAACATGAATATAACTGCTGGCTGCTTACCAGGTAAACAGAAGACCAAGCCCCAAACATGCCAATTCCTTTGCCTGCCTCTTCTTTCCCTTTATCAGTTACATTCAGTACCCCAGCTTTAAACCAATCTCTCTCTTTTTAAAATAGACTTTATCTATTTATTTGTCAGAGAGAGAGAGAGAGAGAGAGAGTGAGCACACAAGCAGGGGGAGCGGCAGGCAGAAGAAGAGGCAGGATCCCTGCTGACCAGGGAGCCCCATGTGGGACTCGACCCCAGGACCCTGGGATCATGACCTGAGCTGAAGGCAGACGCTTAACTGACTGAGCCACCTAGGCGTCCCTTAAGACCAATCTCAAACCTACTTCCTTCAGAGGGCTTTGGGCTGAACCCTCACACACTGTATTCACTTCTGCACTTTGCGTAGTCCACATTAAGTCATATTGCCTACGTGAAGGGTGTGCCACCATCACCTTCTCACACCTAACCCACCAAGACAACAGGTTTGTTGAGAGGGACTGATACAGCTGACCCTTTAACCTGGGTATGACCTACAAGGATCCACTGACACATGGAATTTTTTTAGTAAATACAGTGTAAATATATTTTCTCCTCATTATGGTTTTGGTTTTTGTTAAAGACCTTATTTATTTGAGAGCGAGAGTGTGTATGAGCGCACAAGCTGGGGGCAGATGGAGAGGGAGAAGATGCCTGGGGGCCGAGGACTTGATCTCAGGAACCTGGGACCATGACCTGAGCCAAAGACAGGTGCTCAACTGACTGAGCCACCCAGGCGTCCCTTCATTATGGTTTTCTTAATAATGTTTTCTTTTCTCTAGCTTACTCTATTCTAAGAACACGGTTTATAACATATAATATACATAATGTATAAAATATATGTTAATCAACTATTTACGTTATTGGTAAGGATTCTGGTCCAAGCAGACTATTAAGTTTTGAGGGAACTGAAAATTATACATGGATTTTTCTCTGTCCAGTGCTCTGAGACCCTAATCCTTATGCTGTTCAAGGATCAACTGTACTTCTTTTTGTACTCCATAAGGCCTGGAACTCTGAGCTCAAAATGTGCTGACCAAATAGGAAAACCAGGGTGATATCATATCGGCCTATTTCACAACTGCTCATCCTTTGTTCTCACATTTAGTATTTTTAGAGACACGGTAAAGCGGTGGAAATCCAATAGTTTCTCATCAAGTTAACTACTTTTGAAATGTTCAGGAGAAAAGACATTTAAATTCCAATTCTTTGTTTTTGAATGTCCCAGGAATTGGTTTTTTAAAACCACCCTTAATATTAAAAATATTTCAGAAAACAGAAGTTGAAAGGGCTCGGCAGAGTGCTTGCAATCCGAATGATAGCAACAAATTGATTTTTGTAGCAGAAATTGAAATACGACCCCTGGAGTAGCATTCAAACCTGGATGTGTATAAACATCTATATCTTTGTGTCTGAGCAAAATCAACTTCAAACTCATTGAAAAATATTCTATCTGAAAAATCTGTACTCTAGTTAATGCACATTTTTTGAACTGAGCCTATAATAAGGACAACTCATCATTTTCATATACAAATAAACACACTTCATCTTTTACCACCAAGTCTGAGGAAACCACAACATTTAAAAAAGAATAAACACACAGTTCCTGCTTTTTAAATAACTCGGGGTACTAAGAGGTTGGATGTATAATTCTAATATGCTGTTTCTATGCAGTCTTCACGTTCAAGTCATAAATCCTTTCCCAATGTCAAATGAAGCAAAACAGTTTTTAGGTATTTGTTTAAAAGGTGAACAACTGTTCTTCATTTAGGTATAAGGTAAGCATTTTAGACTGATTTCAATCAGAAATCCTTTAGCAAATACAATGAGTATGGCTGGCAGTTATTCCAGTAATGTAAAAATAAAACAAGTTACTTCTGTTTTCATTAAATAAATCACTACAAGTACAATTTGCATCCATAATAAACAGTTTAAATTTTAAAAATAAAATACTCCCCCCCCAAAAAAAGTGTAGGCTTCTGAAACAATATAGCTAAAAAATACATGCAAACCCAAAGCCAAGAATCTTAAATACCCATATACTGGGGACATTGCAGTTTATTAATCTACAGTCAGATCTCTTGGCCAGGTGTTGAAGCAGAAATATAAAATAATGTCAATGCATTCCTCACCAGCGAAAAGAATACCAAATATTAGTTCAAAAAGTCCTTTCAGACAAAATAATGAATTCCTCCCCATCCCCTCCAACGACGGATCTTTTCTAAAGGGGAAAAGAAAAATATGCCATATAGAAATAAATAAATAATGCAAAACGGATACCTGCGGCCTCTTTGATGCTGCAACGTTTGACAAGCTGTCTGCATGAAAATAATTCCCTTCAACTCTGGGAACTCAAGGATCTCCAGGTAATCTTGAACAACTTTCCAATCTGGGATCATATAATGAGTCACATCACTAGACAAGAGTTTCCCATCTAAAACATAATTCAAAATGTAAGCAATTAGACAATTGTGAACCTGGCTTATCACTGCAAAATAACTTCCAGTCTTAATTACATCCTGAAGTTTTTAAAGGACACAACAAATCTACTTGGGTAGAGGCCCAAAGCTCAGGTAAATTCAGCATCTGCATTTGTTTGAAGCTGTGCTGAGTAAAAGCTCAGTGTGGTTTATGGTGTTGCCAGTGGTGCAGAAGATGACTGTTGTTTTTTTTTTTTTTTAAACAGGCAAATCTTCAGCACAACCTAAATATTTCTGTTAACTCGCTGACCTACACTCACATTCAAATGGGGTCCCGCGAAACAGACATGTTAACCACGTGTTTCTGCCTAGCAATTTCAGGCTGGTTCTGAGTCAAGCTTGGGTACACGCTCCTAAGTCCCCAGGGACCAGAAAGCCGGAATCGACTGAAAAAGATACTCAATGAAGGCAAGGGCAGTGGTTAGGCTTTCTACTCAGCCCGCATCTCAGAGAGCTGCTTAGCCAAGGTGTACCTGAAATGTTGACTTTAACCTTAAAATGAGGACTCCAAATCCTAAGGACCCCCAGGCTCCTCTCCCACCAGAGTGTAGAGAACCAGTCATCTTTCTCCTTCAATCGGCCACCCTTCCAGCCGAGAAACCAAGTGGGGTAAAGTCTAGCGCACGGGAGCTCCAAATCCAACTTCCCCGTGACCTTCCCGTGCAACGAGGACCCAAGACAATTCACAAATTTTAGTGCAGAGGGCTCTCCACCGGCTAAAAGTCACAACGCCTGGGCTAGCAGGTCGGAACCTTAGTGGGAAGTAAAGTGTCAAACGAGAAGCAGCAGGACCTCTCGGCACCGCAGGATGGCGCCCCACCTTTCCACGTGGGGCGCGCAGCTCGACACCCCCCTCAATTTCACCACCACACCATCCTGGGAGTTGCACAAGGGGCAAGTTCCTGCGCCCCTGGGCCCGTCGGGAAGCCCCGCTCGCTCGGACTCCAGGCTGCGGGGGCGCCAGGCTCTGGGCCCTTCCATTTGAGAGGGGGGCCGTCGGGAGGGCGGGGGTGGAGACCCCCAGGAAACAGCGCGCCGCGGTCGTCGGGGCAGCTCCGGGGCCGCGGGCCTCTCGCTCCCGGTCCGTAGCCCCAACTCCAGGCCCGAGCGGCTGCTTGGGCGAGCGGAGGCCCTGGGGCCTCCGCCTCGGCGCCCGCGCGACCTCGCGCCCCGCCCCCAACAGCGCCGCGGCGTCTTCCGCCCCCGTAGCCCTCGCTCCCGCCGTCCAGGGCTGCACTCCGCGCTCCGGCCCGACCCGGCCCGACCCGGCCCGACCCGGCCCGGCCCGGCCCCGGCCCTGGCCCTGACCGTTGCGGCAGGCGGCGGGCTGCGGGCAGAGCGGGCTGTTGCAGGGCACGCTGGGCCGCAGGTAGTGCTCCCGCACGATCCGCAGCGTCCGGCCCTGGAAGGTCCTCAGGAGCAGCACCTTCTCCCGCTTCTGCAGCATGCCGGCGGCGCTCGGCGGCTCACGGCTCCGGGGCCCGCGAGGCCGGCCCCAGAGAGCGGCTGGGAGGTGGCGGGCGCCTCCCAGCGCGGGCGGAAGCGAGGCCGCGGCTACAGGCCCGCCCCCTCGGCCGGGCGGCCTCGTCTATGCGGGCTCGCGGGCTCTCAGGCACCCCAGCACCCCGGCACCCCTGGCAGCCGCCAGAGCGCCCCGAGGGTTCCCGGAACCGCCCTAACGGCAGAGGCCGCGCCTGAGAGCCGGAGGCAGCGGCGGGAGGGGTGCTCCAGCCCCGCCTGGGTCTCCCCGCCGCCGCCCACCGTGGCCTGGGGGCAGGGAGAGGTGGATTCCGCCCAAACGACGTAGGGAGATAAGATGTGTGGAACCTGTGGAAGCTAAAGTCTTGTGAACAAGGTACTGGTCCAACTCGGAGCAATTACTAGATTTTGTTTCTACCCCGAGGTCCTTATGGGCATGGGGGCTGCTGGGTGGGTAATTACTGGTGTTTTCTGTTCCTCGTTCTTGCTTTCCTAAAAGAGCTAAAAGATTCAGCGAGCAAGCCAGAAACCCTGCCAACCCAGCAATTTTTTCCCTTTAAAAAAGTCGTATTTAGGGGCGCCTGGGTGGCTCAGTGGGTTGAGCCGCTGCCTTCGGCTCAGGTCATGATCTCAGAGTCCTGGGATCGAGTCCCACATCAGGCTCTCTGCTCAGCAGGGAGCCTGCTTCTCTCTCTCTCTCTGCCTGCCTCTTTGTCTACTTGTGATCTCTCTGTCAAATAAATAAATAAAATCTTAAAAAAAAGTCGTATTTATTTTTAATTTCATGCATTTTTAATCCATATAAAAATTCAAACAATGCAGATAAAAGGAAAACCAATCCACTTCCTTGAGGTTAACACTATCTGTTCAATCTCAACTCTATGGCGTTTGCAGCCTCTGGCAAAGCAACTTTCCTTTAAATCTGGAGACTCAGACAGTTTCTTATGAGATCACACACTTTTGGTTGGATACCAGCTGCTGTTCTTGAAAGCACTCAACAAGCATTTGTATTTTGAGTTGTACCAGAAGCATTACATACAAGTGTCACATTTAATTTCCTCAAGTCAATGGAGTCAAGCATTATTATCCCCATTTTACAGGCGACGAAGGAGGGTTAGGGAGGGTAAGTGGCCAAGGTTACCCAGTTATTAAGTGGTAGAATCAATATTCAAGCCAGAATCTGGCTGAATTCAAAGCAGGCTCTTAACTAATTACTGTGTTACTCACAGATGAGTAAAATATATGAAGTCCCGCATATAAGGACTTTATAGTCTACTTGTTGAGCTCTAGTTAATGCAGCTTACCCTGGTGGCTGGGAACATCAGAGCTTCCTTTTGGTTAAAAGAAAAATCAAGTAAATTTAAAGATCAAATTGGCTTTATTTAAGGATTTATGAATCATATGGCATTGCATCTAGCAAACACAGAAAAGGAGCACCGAAGAACTGTGCAAAACGGAAGGGCTTTTTAGGCAGAAGGAAAGTGGAAAAGGAAGTTTCTAACAGTGGATTGTTTCAGACAAGGTTACTCTGCTTTGCGGAAAGGGTGGGAGTCTGTCAAGCGGACTACCCCACTGGTGCTGATTAGATAATTCCAGATAGGCTGAGTAAGGTCACATTCCTGGGAGAGGCTGAAACTGCAATTAAGGCTCGGTTTGCTGTCACGGGGGCAATTTGGGGCCTATTGTTCCTTTCTTTTTCCCTCTCCCTCCTCTCTCAACTGAAAAGTGTGATCAAAATTAAAGGCATTAGCACACCTCTCAGCTACCGCTCTGGGAGTTCTCACAGCTTTTACTGATCCTCTGTGTGATTCTCACAGGTCAGGATGTTTTTGGCTGAATCTCTGTGGTATTTGCCTGTCAGGACTCCAGGCTCACCATTTTCTAGGTGGTCGTTCTCGTCATTCCTTTTTTGGAGTTCCAGTCTTAGGGAGATCATTTGCTTGGTGGTTTGTGGCTATACACCTGCATTTAAAGCTTTTTTTTTCCCCCCAAGATTTTTATTTATGTATTTGAGAGAGAAAGAAAAAGAGCAGGAGGAGGGGAGAGGAGCAGAGGGAGAAGCAGACTCCCCGCCAAGCTGGAGCCTGATGTGAGGCTCGATCTGGGACCCTGGGATCATGACCTAAGCGGAAGGCAGACGCTTAACCGACTGAGCCACCCAGGTGCCCCGCATTTAAAGCTTTTGAGGGAATATAGTGTGCCAGGGAGAACACTGTTAATTTTTTTTTTTAAGATTTTATTTATTCCTTTGACACAGAGAGATCACAAGTAAGCAGAGCAGCACAGAGAGAGCGAGGGGGAAGCAGGCTCCCCGCCGGGCAGAGAGCCCGAGGCGGGGCTCGATCCCAGGACTCTGGGATCATGACCTGAGCTGAAGGCAGAGGCTTTAACCCACTGAGCCACCCAGGCACCCCACCACTGTAATTTTTATAAGCAGAAGAATTCTCAGTGCTTAGAGTGCACTTTGTAGCCATGGTCCCTGTAGGGGCCTACTTAGCCAGAGCGACTCCATCTTGGCTAAACAGCCATTTTGTTGTTTATGCAATAAAACTTAAAGTGACCCTGCCGCCCCTCCCCCAGGGGAACTTACTTAAAAGCAAGTCTGGGAAACCAGTAAAATATGGTTGACCAGTCCCTGATAACAGAGCCCAAATACAAGGACAGGTCAGGTCAGGTGGAGATAACAGAGCTCAGAACGCAAGGACGAGTCAGGCCAAGTGGAGACATCCAATTGGTAAAGCACACATACTATCTCCCTAAGCACCAAAGAATGTAAACCCTGCCTTTTGGGCACCAATTCTGACCTGAGTGATAGGCTAGTTCAAACAGCTACTATAGGGTAAATTGTAATTCAATTGGCCACCCGTGTGTGACCTAGCATGACTATGCAACGTTCTCTGTGTATTACAGTCTCTCTTTTTTTTAAATTTATTTTTATTTATTTATTTATTTTTATTTATTTATTTGACAGAGAGAGATCACAAGTAGAGAGGCAGGCAGAGAGAGAGAGAGAAGCAGGCCCCATGCTGAGCAGAGAGCCCGATGCGGGACTCGATCCCAGGACCCTGAGATCATGACCCGAGCCGAAGGCAGCGGCTTAACCCACTGAGCCACCCAGGCGCCCCTATGTATTACAGTCTCATTGGCCAGTTTCAACCACATGGCCTTTGCTCTATAAAAGCTAGTCTGTGAGGCTGTGGGTTTTCGCATAAGACATGGCCCCAGCCGGTCGGTTTGCTTCTTGGTGCTGGCACGAAATAAAGCTTTGCTTGACCTTCGCTTTGTATCAGTCTCACTCCTTTGATCACGGACCCCATCTGTCCCCAAGACTCAACCCAATCAAAATCAAGAAAGTCAAAGACCCCAATTGAAGCCATCACCTTTTTAAGCCACGTGGCATGCATAGTGCTCATATGTAATTGTTTTAACTTCTCCAGAAGTGTTAATCCAATACAGTACGTGGTATTGGCCACAGCACAGACAGTTCCTTGCTCAGCTGCAAGAAACTTGAAGGCCACCTTATGATCAAGAAGAACTTTGGCCACAGAGTCTAAGGATTTTTATTGGGCAGCTCTTGTCTTAGCACATTCTGCAATATTTTCAAGAGTTAAAGGCAGGTTACTGATCATATTTGTATTTACATGAATTCCTAACTGAGGAACTAGGGCCCTATGAAAGGAAGCAAATCCTGAATCCTAAAGGTTTCTTGGAAGGTCCTTTCTAACTTGACAATAAATTTAGGGGTGCTGACTAGTGAGGTAGCTTAGTTTGTTTGGGAACAGTTAGGGGCACAGTTAGGGAACTTCAGAGGTATTGCCCAGCTATGTGATTCAAGGAGAATGCTAACCACCACAGACAGAGATAAAGCAGCCCATTCTGGATTTGGTGGTACCATCAGTGGAGTCACACACAGGGACTGTTGCATTTGCCGGTTCAAGCCAGGACTCGGGTGGATTTTCAGTGTATTTGGGAAGTAAATCTCCTAGCACCACATAGTTGTTGTTCTAATTACCTTGCAAAGATGGGTGCCGCTGGTGAGTTCTTTTTGCGACTGGAGGCAGATCTGAGTTAAATTATCACGAGAACGTCAGAGTGCCAATGCCAATGTGCTGAGATTTATGTAGGTATTTGTGTCTACTTGGCTAGGAACAGTTTATAATTAGAGAAAGGTAAAAACAAGGCACTGGATTTCTGGTCATAAGAGTTGAACTAGATAAGAGACTTCTAACGGGGGTGTCTATTGTTGTGGTGGCATTGGGAATAGAAGAGAACTTGGTCACAGGAACGACCAGAGGGTTTCTAGACTCAAGGACAGATTGGAGTTTTGGATGACAAATTCAGTCATTGGAAAGGTTACCCTCTGTCACAGTGGTCTGGGAGATACAGATGATGATATTATCTTCCCAGGCCATTGCCAGAGTAAAGGAAAGAAAGAAAAGAAAGGATTTCATGTTTAAAGTATGAAGTCTTGGGGCCCCTGGGTGGCACAGTTGGCTAATTGTCCAGCTCTTGATCTTGGCTCAGGTCATGAAATCAAGCTCCGCATGCGGGATCCTGGCTCAGCAGAGAATCTGCTTAAGATTCTCTCTCTCCTGGGGCGCCTGGGTGGCTCAGTGGGTTAGGCTGCTGCCTTCGGCTCAGGTCGTGATCTCAGGGTCCTATAATCGAGTCCCGCATCAGGCTCTTTTGCTCGGTGGGGAGCCTGCTTCTCTCTCTCTCTCTGCCTGCCTGCCTCTCTGTCTATTTGTGATCTCTCTCTGTCAAATAAATAAATAAAATCTTAAAAAAAAAAAAAGATTCTCTCCTGCTGTTCACCCCCCCCGCCCCCACTGCCCCACTCTCTGTCTTTCAAATAAATAAATCTTTAAAAAAAGTAAAGTATGAAGTCTTGATCTGGCATCTTGGAAGCGGTCTATCTCGATGTCAGCTGCTTGTCTTCCTCACCAATTTGATTGGGAGGTTTCCAGCATCTGCATAGGACCAGATGTCACATGGGGCCTTCTTTACTTGGGAGATATGCACCCAAGGCTCAATGCCTT